GGCAGTTCATTCCAATAATCCAATTGAACACAAATTCACACGCAATTCATTCGAACGAGTTAATCCAACTTGCAAGAAAAATACAGAAGGAACACAGTTAATTGCGGGCAAAAGAATTACAATACAAACAAATTATGCAAAACGAGGCATTAAAAAAATTCCATATGACCAGATCGCATAAACTTTAATTGGTAGAATCATCAAATATTATGATAATCGTAGAATTGGGATTTGTCCCACTAATAATATGCTGAACGAGCACACATGTACATAAATCCATGGCTTAATGTGAGGCGAAAAAAAAATTAAAATCAAAATACACCATCTTAAAATTTGCACAAGAATGATTTTGTCATAACAATATTCAATCATCATTATTTACGGTAATTCATAAAACCCTTAACTGACATCGAAGCAAAAAGCATTCATAAACGGATCTCGAAAGTACCTTGCAGGAAAAACACGATTTTTTCCTAAGGCAACACCAATAACAAACTAGAGCGTGCTGATAACGTGTTGTAAATTGGGATCCTCAAGCATCCACACCAAACAAAGTAAAGAGAAACGAGCGAGAGAACAAGAGACAGAAGAGCAGAAAAGTCTATATTTTTATTCATCGTATATCACCCTTATATAGGATTTACAAGTGGGAAGCCCTAAAACCTAATTCTCCTAACTAATGGACTTCAGGCCCAATTATCAATTAGTAATGTCCATATACATATATTTATAACACTGTCTTCTCATATGCCTCGAGGGTTGACACAAACGTACCGCTGTTTCAAACAACAGACTGCATCCGTCGAAATATCAATATTGTCGATACAAGCAATTGTTCCAATACAATTGAACATAAAATACTAACGGATTTTGTTGGAGTTGTACCAGAAAATATTGGTCCAGAATAATATAATAATAATAATAATAATAATAATAAACTCGTAAGACCACCTATCGATGGTTAGACCAGTATTAATACCGATATAATATTTAAAATAAAAGAACTCGTAAAACACTGATTCTCAACCACTTATTCTTATAATATAATAATTCCTCTTATATATAATTTTCGAATGTATTGAGCCTAAGTAACAGACTTGCACCCTTCGAGATCCTATTTGGAATAATTTCATGGTTCGTTATTTAGCTTGGATAGATTTTAATTTACTTTCAATCCAAAAATAATTAGATTTGGAATTATCATAAATACGATGGATATTTATGACCCTTTTATAAGCGTTAATTGTGTTTTGATATCATTTCTTATTGTGGACGTGGTTTATAAAACATGATTTTTTTTCCTCTATCTTTCTTTTTCCACCAATCTTTTGTTTTTAAATTATAATACACTTTACTAAGTTAAATTGTAAATATATATTAAAAGTTAAATTTTATATTTATTGTTAATTTTTATATATAATACATTAAATTAATCATTTCTTGATTACCTTCAGTTTGATATTTATATTGCATAAAATAAATAAATAATTATATCTATCTTAACAAATAAAAATAAATTATCTATTAATTCTAATTGGAAAAAATAAAACTATTTATGAATTAAATAAATCTTACTACAAAGTAGTTATATGATATAAGTTAATAAAATATTATAATATAAGATGAGTAAGTCGTATATCTTATGGGTTTCATTTCAGATAGAAATAATCATATATTTTCAAAAAAGCATTAAAAATTTAACACAAATTTTTATTGCTTTATAAAATTAGATATAAATTTTTAACAAGCATTCGTGTAATACATGAGTATTGTACTAGTAGATATACTAGTACAACGCCCATGAACTACACGGGTGTTTCATAAAAAAATTAAATTGTCCAATTAAAATTGAAAAATAATTAAAATTCTTATTGTGAAATAAAAAATGGGTTTCATGTACCAAACCCCCTATATTATACTAAATCTGCGCGTCTTCCCCCTATATTTTAAAAATTGCGTCAAACCCCTTCTATTAAGATTTCAGGTGCACACGCTCCCTTGTCTCTATTTCTCCGTTAACGGCGTTAGTTTTTCTTCAAAAGTCCTGTTATACTCTCTGAATATTATACATATTTACGATATATTGAATATATCGCGAGAAATTGAATTAAAAAAAATTGCAACCCTTAAGATTCGAACCTGGTACCTCATGGAAGCAAAACAAGTAATGCAATCACCACACCACTCAAGGTTGAGTATTAGAACTAAGAATGTTTGATATATGGACATTGTTATGGATAAGTGAAATTAAATTTAGAATATATAAATTATATTTAATTAAATTATTAAAATATAAAGTTATGATAATTCAAATATAATAAATTAAATTATATAAAATTAAACAAAAAAAATAATTTAGATAAATTATTATTTTTAACAAAAAATAAATTAAAATAAAATATAAATAAATATAAAAATTGTAGTTAAATAATAAATAATATAATAATTAAGTCAATCTATATATTTATAAAAGATTTTAAAAAATATTAAATAGTATAAAAATAATTACAATAAATAAATACAAATCATATATAGCTATTTAATAAAAAATATTTTGTTGTCGAAATTATACTTTAATAATATATTATATATATAAGTATCATATAATTTTATTACAAATTTAATTTAATTTAATTTATCATTTAATTTATTATAAATTTATTATAATTTTTATACTTTATTATCTTATATAATTATTATTTTTATTTTTCTTTAATTAGTTTATTTTAATTTTATTTATTTATTAATTTCATTTTTGTATTTATTTTTCTCATTTAAAATTTATTTAATTATAACTTTATTTAATTTTAGTTCACGCTAATACATTAAATTTTATCTTACTTTATTTTAATTTAATTTTTTTCATTATTTTAAGTTAATTTAATTTATTGAAAATTATTAGTATTATTATTATTAATTATTTAATTTATAGTAAATTGACATATTATCCTTTTATTTTATTTATTTACTTATTTTTAAACTATTTAATCCATTTCAGTAGGATGTATACATATATTTATGTTCAATAGATTACACATATATCCATATGGCCTAGTGGTTGAGCTGCCATTCTCTTCCTTTCCTACCTAGGTTCGAATCTTGTCGCCCACATTTCATACCATTTAGGTTTTGTACATAATTCAAGGGTAAAACAGTAATTTTCACCACTTTGGAGTGAAAAAATAAAGAAAAAGCCGCACAGCACGCGCGTGCACGCCACTTCCGTCATCTTAGACGGTTTAGGGTGTTTCGCGCATGCAAAACCTTAATAAAAGGTGGTCTGATGAAATTTTTAAAATACAGGAGGGAAACGTGCAGATTTAGTATAATAAAGGGGGATTTGGTGCATTAAACCCAATAAAAAATTACAAATAATTGTTTAAAAAATAATATTTTCTTAATTCTAAAAAAATACTATTTAGTATTTATTTCTATTTCATATATCTTCAATTTTGTCAAAATTAAATAAAATAACTAATTTATTCGCCGGTCAATATAACGCTCGTGAACAATACGTGTGCTTGAGAATTATGTATTTTATCAAAATAAAGAAGTAAATAAATTAATATTTAGAATGATAAAAAACTGAATATGTAATTAATAATTAAAAAATAGTAAAATTAAGTATTTAAAATAATAACCATTATTTATACTCAATTTGTCAAAATGATAATTCTTTTTGAACCCACACACACACACATATACATATAGATATATATGTGTGTGTTATATTTGTATTATTTACAACTCAGTAATTTGATTTTGAATTTATTTATTTATTTTATTTTAATTATATTATAATTATATTTTATATTTTATACAGTTTTCTTCCCTCATCTAATATTTTTTAAAATATCTTCAACTATATAATATTCAAAAATTTTAAATTTAATGTGTATGATACTAAACTTTATGAAATATAATAATTATTTTGATTATTCTATTATAATGTTCATTCTCTATGTATCCTTTTTTTAAGTTGAGACATAAACTTTTAGAATACTTTTTTTATATTAATTTGATGTTCATACTTAGTTTATATATTCTTCTCCAAGTAAAATAATTATGTATGGTATGATAATACACATAAATTTATATTACTTTATAAGATATATATAATTTTATTTGATATTTTTTAATTCAGTTTGATAAATAAATTTAAATTTTATTTTTAATGATATATATCATTTTTTTGTATTATATATATAATATGGATGTCAAATCGAAGAGCATTAAAAGATAATTAATTTTGATATATCATATATGAAAAATAAAATACAAACAGAAAAGTTATAAAATTTTAAAATAAGAAGTAGAAACATTTATAATAATTGATGTATGACTTAAATAAGAAAATGAAATGTAATATATGGTAATGTAGGAACATAAAATAGTTGTGGTAGAATTGTAGAAGAAAAAGAAGGAAAAAATTAATAATGGATTTAATATGAAAAATATAGACATTCAATGAAATTCAAGCCTAATTATTTTTTTATAAAAAGTCTTAATTTATATCCAAGTCTGACTCCAAAGTATGATTTTTTGTCACATAAAATTCCAAGATGTAAGAGTCCGTCACTTAGACTCAGTGTATTATGTAATTATATATTGGGGATATACTAAAAGTCTAAAAAACTGCTTATGAGTACAAGTTAATTCTCTTAAAATTTACAGTACCCTTCCATAAGTAATGTGGCAGAATATTGATTTGGGATGTGGATTATAGTAACAGATTATAAGTCAATTTAGTCGACTAAAAGAAATAAGTGGTCGAGAATCTGATTTTCCCCCTTAGGTCTGCTTTGTCAAAAATATTACCATCATATCATAATATAGTGAAAGAAGAAGACAGTTGAAAAAAATAAAGATGAAATCTGGGTAAATGTTAATGAGTAATGAGACATGATATTACTTTTTCTCAGCTAAATATTCAAATTTCAATTCTTTAAGAAAAAGCAAACATTTTCCTTGAGGTCATTATGGTCACATATTCCTTGTACTATACCCCTTACTTTATTCATACTTTTTTTTTCCGACCGTTGCCCAAATGTCCGTCCACCCGAAAAAATGAAAACCCTTGTCATGTAAACACAACAGCAAACATAATCTCGATTTTTATTAAACAAAAAATAAAAACATAGTTCAGAAAAAATTCCAGTGAGAATGACGTGCACTCAAGCAGCATCCAATTACTATCTCTTGTTAATTCTGGCCTCCATTCTCATCGTCTGCTCCACAGGTATATTATTATTACTGTTGTTGTTGTTAATGAGTGAATTGGACGATTAATTTTTGCATCTGGTTATGCGAATATTGTTCCATTTTGCAGTTGCTTATCTGCAACTTCAAAAATCTTTCACAAGTAACATTTTTTCACGCCAAAAATTAATAAAAAAAAAAAGAAAAAGAAAAGAAAGAAGAAGAAAGGTTCAGCACGAAACACTAAGCGATAACTTTGTGCAATTTATTTAATTTTCATTATAGTTTATGGTGAATTGAAAATTGGGGAAAGATATTTGTTAGGTCAATTAGCACCGGGCAGTCCCGGGATAGTGACGGTCCCGTCGGGCACGCCGCCGGCGAGCTCGAGCACGAGCAACACAGCTCGGTGGTGCGTGGCCAAGAGCGGAGTGGGGCCGGCGGCGCTGCAGGCTGCACTGGACTACGCGTGCGGGCAAGGCAGGGCGGACTGCGGGCCAATCCAGCCCAGCGGGACTTGCTTTAGCCCTAATACACTGCAGAATCACGCCTCATATGCTTTCAATAGCTACTATCAAAAGAGTTCGGGCCAGGGCTCCGCGGCCTGTGATTTCTCCGGTGCAGCCACATTCACCACTACTAATCCAAGTAAGGATAAATTTAACCAAAACAGATGCCTTTTTTTCTTTTTCTTTTTTTTTTTTTGGTTT